AGTACACTTACTATTTGATATAATTATACTTACTATTTTTAATAACTATACTTACCATTCAATTATTAATAATATACACTTAACCTGCTATTCAAGTAACAAGTAAACTTAAAAAATTAAGTTATAATAAATTTTCAAAACCTCTAAAATAAATATAAAATTCATAAAATAGAATTTAAGAAAAAATATACAAAAATAAATGTGAATTTTATACATTTTATTATAATTTATTACATTTTATGAAATATGATTTATTTATTTACTTAATGGCAATAAATGAAACCTAGTTTCCTTTTCATTTACCACACTTGAAAATAATAAATGCAATAATGAAGAAATATAATTAATAAAATATAGGAAAATTTAAAATTTATTTGAGGATTCCATGAACAAAATTTTATGTTTATTTTTAAAAATTTTGAATATTTGAAGATTTGAAGATAAGATTGTTGTTGATTTGGAACTCTTTAGGTAAGAATCTATATCTCTATAGTCTCTATCTTTCTTTCTTTTTTACTTTAACTTTCCATGATATTTTGAATTTATAAATTTTAATGTTTTGTTGGAATACCATTTCACCTAGTTAAAAGAAAAATTATGAGATTTAAGTGGTAAGAAAAAAAAAATCAAGTTTGATGAAATGGTAAGTGCAGTCTTAAGTTTAGTTTAAATGATTGATTAATCAAGTCTACTAAAATAGTAACTAGAGTCCCATCATTGACTAGTAAGTATTGTTTAAGTGATAAGTCAGGTTTGATAAAGTAGTAAGTAGAGTTTCATTTTGTTGTTGATTTGGAACTCTTTAGGTAAGAATCTATATCTCTATAGTCTCTATCTTTCTTTCTTTTTTACTTTAACTTTCCATGATATTTTGAATTTATAAATTTTAATGTTTTGTTGGAATACCATTTCACCTAGTTAAAAGAAAAATTATGAGATTTAAGTGGTAAGAAAAAAAAAATCAAGTTTGATGAAATGGTAAGTGCAATCTTAAGTTTAGTTTAAATGATTGATTAATCAAGTCTACTAAAATAGTAAGTAGAGTCCCATTGACTAGTAAGTATTGTTTAAGTGATAAGTCAGGTTTGATAAAGTAGTAAGTAGAGTTTCATTGATTAGTAAGTGTTATTTAAATTACTGGTAAGTTAAGTTTGATAAAATAATAGGTAGAGTCTTATTGAGTAGTAAGTATGGTTTAAATGAGCGGTAAGTAAGTCTGATAAAATAACAAGTATGGTTTAAATGAGCGGTTTCCAACTTACTACAACAACTAAACACGCTTACTACTTGATATGGTTGTATTTACTATTCCACATAATTACACTTACGATTCAAACATTAATAAAATGCACCTAACCTCTAAAATAAATATAAAATTTATAAAATAGAATGTAAACCAAAAAAAAAAATGTACAAAATAAATATGAAATTTATAAATTTTATTATATTTTTTTACATTTTATGGAGTATGATTTTTTTTATTTATCTACTTAATGGCAATGAATGAAACCTAGTATCTTTTTTATCTACCACAATAAATGAAATTAATGAGAAATATGTTTAACAAAATATAAAAAAATTTCAAATTCATTTGAGGATTCCATAAACAAAATTTGATGTTCATTCTAAAACTTTTGAAGATTTTAAGATAGAATCGTTGTTGATTTGAAACTCCTTAGGTAAGTCTCTCTCTTTTTACTTTCACTTCCATTATATTTTGAATTTATCAATTTTTATGTTTTGTTGGAACAACATTTCACCTAGTTAAAAGAAAAATTATGAGATTCTAAGTGGTAAGAAAAAAAAAAACCAAGTTTGATGAAATAGTAAATGTAGTCTTAAGTTTAGTTTAAATGATTGATAAATAAAGTCTAATAAAGTAGTAAGTATTGTTTAAATGAGTGATAAGTCAAGTTTGATAAAGTAGTAAGTATAGTCTCATTGAGTAGTAAGTGTAGCTTAAATGAGTGTCTAATAAAGTAGTAAGGAGACTCTCATTGAGTAGTAAGTGTGATTTATTTAAATGGTAAGTGAAGTGTAAAAGAGTGGTAAGTGGAGTCTTATTGATTAGCAAGTATGATTGAATGAAATGGTAAGTCAAAAGTAATGAAGTATTATGTTAATCATTGTTCATAGTCACATGTGAATAGTCATGTACTAGTGTCATGTTCAATTATTTGAATGGTCACTACAAGAAATTGCATTTTTCGCAACGCAACAAAATATGTTGCTAAAAGGGAAAATTCGTTGGCAAAGAGTTTTGCCGACACACAAAGCTACGTTGGCAACCCGTAGGCAAAAGTGAGTTGGCAAAAGTTTTTGCCGACGAAATGATCATTGCGTTGGTAAAAGTAATACCTTTAGCGACGAACATAGTCGTCGCTAAAAGCCTCCATCCATCGTCGGCAATTTACCTTGCGTTGGTAAAAGTCATTCAAATATGATAATTGTGTGACACTTTTCGCGACACAAATTTGCATGGGCAAAAAATATACTTTTAGCAACAACATATGCGTCGGCAAAAGTAAACTTTTGGCGACACATTTAAGTCGGTAAATGTTGCCATTTGCCGACAATTTGTTTGTCACTAAAGCTTTACTTTTGGCAATGATCGGTAAATGTTGCCATTTGCCAACGATTTGGTTGTCGATAAAGCTTTAGTTTTGGCAACGATAAATTGGCATTGGCAAAAAATACACTTCTACCAACACAATATGAGTGGGGAAAAGTAACTTTTAGCGACACATTTACGTCGGTAAATGTTGCCATTTGCCAACGATTTGGTTGTCGATAAAGCTTTAGTTTTGGCAACGACAAATTGGCATTGGCAAAAAATACACTTTTAGCACCACAATATGAGTGGGCAAAAATAAACTTTTAGCTACACATTTACCGACAAGTTATTTGTCGAGAAAGCTTCACTTTTTAACAACGACCAATTTGCAACGGGAAAAATAATTGAAACTCATTATTAATTTTTTAAAAGATTTACAGGTTTACAAGAGGCATCCCTCAGGCACCATTATAACAAACTAATAACATGGATATGAAATCACACAAAATACCCCCTCCATACCCCCTCCATACCCTTCCAGCCAAAACACCAGCAACAGCATCTCAGCAACAGCAGCAACATCACAGCAGCACCAGAAGAATAGCAGATCAGCAAACTGATTCAACACAGATCATCACCAGTTCAGAAAACCATTTCAACTCGGCAGTGTAATGAGTAAAAGTGTCACATGAGTAGAAGTGTCATATGAGTAGAAGTGTTAGTGCTTCTTGCATTAAGGTCTGGTTACTTGTTAGACAGATTTGAATTAGACATAAATTCAGCAAATAGGAAAACAAAAGCATGAAAGGAGTAGCCTACTCCACAAGGTTGGCTTGAGATACACACACAAGTCAATAGGGAATTTCCACACTGGCTCTTTAATTCCAACTCTAAATTCATAATCAAGCAGGGGCCTCTTTATGTGGACACTAGTAAACCATAATGAGAAATAAACTTTCTAAAAATTACCCCATTTAGAGACTGTAAAATATTCAAAATCTACCAAAATAAGTAATTCTAAACAAGTAATTGGCTGGATTATAGCCCAAGAGAAGTCTACTAACCAACACACAAACTATAGCAAAGAAATCCCTAAAAATAAAATACATCCAGAACATTCTGAAGCTCCTAATAGGGGACTAACAAATTCTAATCAAGAATAAAATGAAGACTCATAAATAAACAAACTTCATACTAACTAGACAAACTTGACATTATTTGCTTGGGATTTGTCCTCTTCTACTTACTGCTTCTGCATCACAATGTCACACATTCATGTGAATAATTGGGGCTTATGTTTTCAATGAAAGAACTGAGATTTCAACTATATTACACTGAAAATCAATTGTGAGAACAAGATGGAAAAATTTGTTACTAGCAACGTGGTCAAGTAAGACGAACTCAACACTAGAAGCAGTTTTGAGGCATGAGAGTTAAATAATAGGAAGGCAGCTTTAGCTCCTGAGACATTTACGTAAGATTTTTCTACAAAATTAGACCTTAGAACTTAAATCTGTTTTCTTATGTTGTAGAGCTTTTAAAAATCATTATTGAAAGTCTCAATGTGTCCAAATTCATTGATGAAGAAATGATTATCGAGTGGTGTTCAAGTCTAAAATTTTAGTATGCATTTAGCAGATGGTCCTCAAGTAAATGTCCTAAATGCCAAATCCACCACAAGAAAGGAAGCATAATTTGAATGGAATTATAAAACTGCAGTTAGCATTTAATTCACCCAAAACCCCCATTGAACTTAACTTCATAGTCAAGAAGAATAGAAATTACTCATAATACACTTGAACAACACTAAGAAACTTACAACATGAGAAGACTTACCAAATTTTGAACAAAGTATTCAGGAGATGTTTGGTTTGATTATCCCTTAGCAACTGGGGAACATGATTCTTGAAAACCCTGTAAAATTGAATCCAACGGAAGGATGTCTAGTAGCAAGGTAACACAGTATCTGCTTAAGAAAATGCTAGCAAATTTTAGGAATGTCATGAAAAAAAAAAACTAACTACGGCATTTACATATACCAACACCAACCACCAAAACCTTGAATATCTATTGAGTTAGTATAAAAATGCATAGATCTTTGAAAGTAAACAGATGTTCCCATGTATGTGTATACATGTAAGAACAGAACAAGAAGGGCTTTCAGTGTTCAATAAATTTTGCAGCTAATTTCTTTAAAGGCATGGGTTCTACAAAATCAGTTCATTGTCAGAAACAGAACGTGTCAATCAGTGCCATGGTCTCAACTGGTGCCCATGGTGCAAATCAGATTATTAGCAGTCTCATCTATCAAGGTTGTGCCAGATCTAGAATTGGCAATTTCAGATCAGAATGCTTGTAAGGAATGCTTTAGGACTAGAAATATTTAAATTTTAAACACACAACATAGTCCTCAGTAAAGAATTGTGAACAATAATTTACCATGAATTTCCAGCAGCATTAGAAATAATGTCATAAATTATCTATGGATGAATACCAGCTTGGGCACCAAGAGAAATGGCCTCCACAGAAGAAACAAAATGAATGCCCTCAAGCAGCTCTATTACCATTTTAATTTTGCTGCAATTTAAAAAAGAAAAGTAGACATTAACAATAACATCATCTAATATGATATTAGAACACCTAACATAAATAAATAAAGAAGAAGGGCCATTCCCCTGTGCCAATCCCTGTTAAATTGGGTTAAACACCTAATACAAACAAATTTACTATCAAGTGGCACAACCAAGACACAATTAAATTATCATTTGAAAAGTATTGTTCAGAGATATGAAATTACTTAAATTTGTATTGGAATATTCAAGAATCATTTAGTTGTAAGTTTATAGTAAATTAGATTTGACTTGGTTTACACAATCACTAGTGTAATATTAGGTCAGGTGTTGTTTTTTGCGCAAAGCCATTATTTTTTTTTTTAACCAAATTTTAATTCCACTTTTTGTTTCCGATATTTACATGTTATCAAAGCCATATCACTACTAAGAAGCAGCCTATCTGTTCTTGTATTCCTGTCAAGTAAAAAAAAATCTCCTATGGTTTCCTGGTGCTGTCTTGTGAATTTTCTAGTCTCCAATGGTTCAATAGCTACATGCCGAATATTGTTATAATTTAGCAATAAAAAGAGACAAAATGCTATATATTAGAAATGTTGCTCCAATGATGACTTTGCTCCCTCCATTTATTCTCTCATTTCAACTATCATTTCAAAATAACAAGTACATGCTACTTAATCAAACTTTATTAACTTAATTTAGAGTTACATACTGCAAAATAAAATAACATAAGACATAATCATGGAAGAGGAAGAACATAATAATCTGAGTTGCTTGATCATGCCAAAATTTTTGTGCCTGATCGTTCATTTAGAGGTATCTCAAGTCAGCTCTTGTGAAACGGATCCTGTGCTCTAACCATGATCACTTAAAATTGAAAGCATTTTGTGATGCAAATTGGGTTGGTTCAGTCAATGATAGACAAAATGCAAACATATGTGTGTATAAGAAGAGAACATGTGCCAACTTTTGGTGTCTCTCATTAGCCTTTTCCTGTATTTATCTCTCTTCTCTCTATCTCTCTCTCTCTCTCTCTGTCTGTCTGTCTCTCTCTCTTCTTGTCTTCATCTTTTACCCTAAATTTAATTGTCACCAATTTTATATGAAAATTTGTCTCAACAACACAATTCAAATTGTTCTAAAATCTAAACATGACAAAGAAATTGGTAAGATTGTGAAGAAAGCCCACCTTCCAGCACCAAGTGCCCCCTCAAAAACATAAAGTTTCTCACTCATAGCTGTTTGAAAAACACAATAGTTTGTCTTAGAGATGAAATAGAAAATTTAAAAGTAGTGATCAAAAAACTGAATCCTCATGCAAGTGTTGCAGAGTAGTGACATAAGTAGATTGTACCAGAGAGAATAGGGCGTGCCCTTGTAATGGCATCCAACTGTCCTGATGAAATAATCTGCGTATTATAGAAATATCAGCTTCAGCCAGTTATAAAATAGCAAAACAAAAGCAAAATGATCCTCTACTTATGTGAGGAAGAAATAGGATATGAGATATATAATCTTACCATTATTTTGCCATTCAAAACCTCTGGCATTCCCTTAGAGACATATATATCAACTACAAAAACATGTAATATGATTAGCAGGCGAAATGACCATCAGTACTTTACTGAGCTCAAAAGAAAAGACATTTCTCGGGACCACTTTTCTAGTAAGATATAATACCCACTACACTACACTGCACTCCAGAGTTGTTAACCATGACAATAGAGAAGAATCTGAAAAATGTAGACATCCAATCCAAGCAGCAAGCATATCTCATCACACTGTGACTGAACAACTAGCATATACACGAGAATGAGATGCTTAGCAAGGCAAGAAACAGCTTTTTATATCAGTTTCTAGACTTACCAAAAAGAGAGGATATGAAGCAAGCAACGAGAAGGGAAGTGCTGAAGTGAAGTACCAATAAAATGGGATATGTCTAGAGACTAAATATTGAGGAACAAATAAAATATGAATTTCACAAGATACTCTAGTTATGTCATTTTTAAACTGTTTTGTAAGCATAGCCGTCATCTCAGACTCTAAATCAAATTCAGTCTCCGGAGGCTTTGCAGTCTCAAAATAACTAACGACTTAATTATTTTCTTTTTTGCTTTTTTTGATAAGTAAATAAAGTATAGATTCATAGAACACAAAGGGTCATCACCCCTGTACATTAGAGATTTGCAGACAGAAGAACAAAAAACAAAACAAAAAAAGAAAGATAGACATTAAACCTTCCCCAAAAGATAAACAAAAAAAGAAAAAATAAAATGATTTAACTATGAACTTTCTCCCTTGTCCTTTCATTTCAACTCACCTCCCCTGCCCTCATTAACCTTCATATCAATAATGGAGGGCATGATCCACTAGGCAGAGTTAAAAAGTTGCTAAAGCTCTATAATCTCATTAATGGAAAAATAAAGATAAGAACAACTATGGCCGTCTATGATAAATCTAGAGTAAAAATGATGAAACAGAAAAAAAAAAGAAAAGAAAGAGTATCATAACACACTGTTGAGCTGCCGATAAATCTAAAACTAAATAGCACAAAACTACGACGACATCCACCAACAAACCAGGCAGAACAGAAAAGTTAACCAAGAGTATAAAAGAAAATTCTATACAAATATTTTTTTTATCTAGAGAAAATAAATTGCCTGTGAGTCGCTTCCCGAGCTTCTATATATGAGCAGGTAGTATGGTTGAATGGAGAATGATGACAGCATCTTTGCGTAACCCAGCAAAACCAGAAAATAGTATATTCTGAACATCAACCAAGCAGACTAATTATAAATTCAGAAAACATTAAGGATCTCCACAAAACCTTTTTAAGCACTCTCATGACCAAAAAGTAGGTCATTTATTTGATCTACATGAGATATCAATACAACCAAAACTACAACATCTGCACGCAAAGAAATGAGAGAAGGAAGCATCAGAAAGTCAATTTTTAGCTCTTCAAAAAAATAAGGTCACAATTTATAGAGAAAATAAAAGAAGAACATATTCAGTCAACTATGATCCAAAAGTATATATATATATCATTGTTTTTAGGTGTTTCTTTAGGTAGCTAAATATACTATTCGAAGTCATTTTGAACCCTTATATTCCTTTTACCAATCAAAGTCATTTAACCCCTTATCTCCCTTCATACCAATCAAAGTTTATTAATTACAATCAGAGTGCTTTTGGAATCAAAGTCAAAGTCATTGCTTTTGGAATAAAAAATTCAATCGCGAAATGCCCTGAATTCAATCGTGAACAAATTCAATGAACAAACAGAGAGATGGGAAATGAAGACAGACCTCAAAGGCTTGTACGGCATAGCCAGAGCGAAGGAGTGAGGAGGCCAATTGCAAGTTCAGTTGGTCCAAGCCAACGAACCCAATTACACTCTGAGACGCCATTGGAGCGAGTTTAAAGGACATTTATAAAGGTTAGATTTCCTCCATCAAAAGAAATTCCCAATGCACAATAAAGTATTCCCAAGTAAAACTCCATGTCACATAAAATGAGAGTAACAGATAACCTTTGAACTTATATATCGTTCTCTATTTTTCTTTTTCTTTTTCTTTTTATATTATCTCTTTCACACTCACACATAACCACTCACTCACTCATTGGTGTGCAATAATGTGAGATCTCTTTTGTACATCATTTTGTTAGTAGTTACCACTAACCAATAAAGAAAATGGAAGATTTTTTTTGTCTCCATGCCATGATTGGTTGATATAGCGACCCCGGTCTTTTCTCTTTAAAGAACAACCAAAGAAAGCAAAAACAAAACCACAAAACAACAGCAGATAGTATCATACATCAATTGTTAAAGGACACCCAAATGAACCTTTGCAAATTCAATAAATGAGTTCACCCCATCTACATATGGCTGACTGAATCTATCAGAAATTAACATCCAACTCCTGTCGATGTCTGATCATAAGATAGTAGTTAATATCAATAGGACACAACCTTTTATTTTTTATTTTTTTATTCTTTAAACATGAAGACAAAGTAGTTAATATAAGTGTAGAGTGACACATCATCATCAATAAAGGTGCATCTACCTGTAGGCTTTTTTAATTTTGTATCAAGGTTTCGACCAACAAATCCTTTAAAGTTCTATTATATCTGCATATATTATGTATTAAGTTAAGTGTTTTTTACATTTATCAACAAAAAAACAAGAAAATATATATATTTTTAATGTCTGTTAAATGGTAAAAGGCAGCTGGCATGGCAATGTAACATTCCAATTCATTACAATAGCTTTCTTAAAGGACATTACCTAATGGGCTCCTACAAATTAAGGGCATAGGGAAGGACTAAGGGTGGCTACAGGCCTAACCTCTGTAATATTTGTGGGAAGGGACTACATTTTTCAATTCCAACACATATTTTCATACACGGGAACTCAAGCATTTACCACTACACCAATCAATACCCTCTCTTTGATGAAACTTCTATTTTTATCTAAAAGGGATTTTCAGCTCTCCTAAAAAGCCCTAGCACAAATTACATCCAGCCATTGCCTCTAAATTTTCTATTAATGAACCAATTGAAAAGTCGGGAACCAAAGTGACACAAACCTCAAACTATAGGGACCGTTAGTATAATTCGCCCAAGATAAAAAGATCAAAAATAAAAAGTGCACTTTTGTAGTACACCCAAACACTCTCTTAGCTTAAAAAACCATCTAAAACCCAACTTAAAAAACTAAACTATTTAAACTTTTTTTGAGCTGAAAAGGAAAATAAGCTGAAAACAAAATAAGTGGAACCAAACACCCTACAATTTTAGGTACAACTACTAACGCATGTGTTTTCAAAATTTAAACAAAATAAGTTGCAAATAAGTGGAAACCAAACAGCCTTTTTATATACAACTACTAAAGCATGTGTTCTCAAATTTTAAATTAAGTTGGTTGCAAATTTTAACTACTAAAGCATGTGCTTTCAATTACTACATTGTATTTATGCTTTTATATTCACATTCAAACACATAAAAAATCAGAAGTTGGCCCTTAAGCTTTATGGTATAATATCTTACTGCATCCTCTATTTCTAACATTACATTGTCTCCAGAGTGTTCTTATACTGGATGCAATAGACCATTTCCTTTGTGAGACAGAATTTCAACTCCTGAATAGGTGCTTCAGTGAGCAAGGCTACATGAAAGAGAATCCCAGTAAGCTTCAGCATGGAAGTGGGTTAGTTAAGGTATGACAAATAAGCCACCTCTATGCCCTGGGGGCAAGGATGAAATGTCAACACTCATAGTAGGGGCACTAACAGGCTCAGAATTGGTGACTTGTATTGGGTTTAAGATGGAACAGATTTTAAAGCCTCTCTTATTCATATGCACCAGTAGAAGTGTTCTTATTTTATTACCTTACATAAATAGTCACTGTGGGTTCTTATTAATATTTGAAGTAAGAGGCCCACTGAGAAGATGAATAAATTCCTGGTGAATGGGCACAGGCATCCTCTCATACAGAGGCAAATCCATGTTCTAACCTAAACGTTTGATGTGGATTCAGGTTAGGTGTTCATTAAAATTTCATATCCTTTTAGTTTTGCATTTCAAAATGATATTGTACTGGACAACCCGTAAAGGCCCCATCTTCTCCAAATCAAGCATGGAATTTGTTTGGAAAAAGCATCCTTCAGAGAACCCCAAAATCTAAATAATAGAAGACGTGAAAATAGACAAACATAGATTCATTTAAGAAATTGAGAGAGAGAAGCAGGGGCATTGAGATACAAAGCAAAAGGGAACAAACCTGTCATGGGAGACTGAAGCACCGATCTCACACGACAGCAGCAAACGTCACAAACCCTACGATCAAGAGCGAAATCGTGAGGGAGAGAGAACTACGAATTCTGAGATAAGGATGTGCAAGAGTGAAATCGTGGAGATTGATTTGGGGAGATTTGATGAGGGAAAAAAAAAGGAGGGAATTTGAAGAGGGAAATGTCACCGCTGATTTTACCTACTCTACCCAAACAAATAAATAAAATAAAATATTCAAAACAATTTTTAAATTTGTTTTTTTTAAAAAAAATTTAAAATAATTTCAGAGCAATAAAAATCAAAATTATATTTTTAAAATTTTAAAAAATATTTATGACCTAAAAGATTAAAAAAAAAATTTTAGATTTGTTTTTTTTTAAAAAATTATAAATAATTTGAAAGCAATAAAAATCAAATTTATATTTTTATAATTTTAAAAAGTATTTATGACCTAAAAGATAAAAATATACAAAAATAATAAGTTTTTTTTTTCACCCAATTTTTTTTTTAGTTTTTTAGGGAAAAAAAATTTGAAACTAGTTTCTGAAAATAAAAACAAACATATTGAAATTGATAATCTAACCATATTCTTTGAAAAAGTTTAAATTATCTTAAATTAGTCATATCAACTTAAGAGTGTGTTTGGGCTCAATGGGCTCATTTTGTGATCTAATTCAATGATTATTTTAATTTTACAATTCAGTAACTAAAATATTTAAAACTATTTCAAAAATTGTAATAAAAAACACAAATCACTAAATCATATCATTCCACTGGCAAAACTTTTACCGACGAATAGTGTCATCGTTGCTAAATGGTTAACTCTTTACCCACGCCAACTTATCGTCGCCAAAAGTAAGCACACTAATAGCAACGCTCATTGTGTTGCTAAAACATAAGCCTCGTAGGTAAAAGTTTTGAAATTTTGGCGCCAACCAAAAAATTTGGCGCTAAAATAATGTTATGCCTTTTTAGTGACGGCAACAAATTGCGTCGGTAAAGGTATACTTTTACCAACGAAATTGATCACTGTGTCGCCAAAAATATACTTTTGGCGATGAAAAATTGACGTCGTCACCAAAAGTGCAATTTCTTGTATGTACTAATGTCATGATCAATCATTTTTAGTAATCACATGTGAATTATATGAGTCTCATTCATCAATAAGTGGGGTTAAGTCGAGTTGTAAGTGAGATTTGTTTAAGTGGTAAGTGGAGTGTCATTAACTAGTAAGTATAGTTGAATGAAATGGTAAGCAACGAGTAATAAAGTAGTAAGTGGAGTCTATTTGAGTGATAGTAAGTGAGGCTTATTTGAGTGGTAAGTTATGTCTAACAAACTGGTAAGTAGAATCTTTATGACTAGTAAGTATGATTGAATAAAATGGTAAGCTAAGAGCAATGTAGTAAGTGGAGTCTATTTTAAATGGTAGTAAACGAGGCTTATTTGAGTGGTAAGTTAAGTCTAACAAACTAGTAAGTAGAGCCTTTTTAACTAGTAAGTATAATTGAATAAAATAGTAAGCCAAGAGCAATGTAGTAAGTGAAGTCTACTTTAAATGGTAGTAAATGAGGCATATTTGAGTGGTAAGTTAAGTCTAACAAACTGATAAGTAAAATCTTTTTAACTAGTAAGTATCGTTGAATGAAATGCTAAGTAAAGAGTAATAAAATAGTAAGTGGAGTCATTGAAGCATAATAAAGTAGTAAGTGATAATCAATTCAAATCCTGTCCATGTACAATCCAAATTCAAATCCTGCCCAATTACATTTATGAAATATGAATTTTATTTTTATTTTATTTATCTACATAGTAGAAATAAATGAAACTCGATTTCATTGAGTTCTAAATGGGGTTTGATTTAATAATGAGTGAGGTCTCATTGAGTAGTGAGTGAAGTATGATGGAGTAGAAAGTAAAGTCTCATTGAGAAATGTGGGGTTTGATTGTGTAGTAAGTGAAGTTTGATGGAATAATCATCACCATCACCTCAATTATCTTACCATTACTACCACCACATATACCTAATTTACAAAAATCAATTCTGATGGAGTAATAAGTGAAGTCTCAATGAGTAGTAAGTGAGATTTAAATGAGTAGTAAGTCAAGTCTAATGTAGCAGTAAGTGGATTTTTATTGAGTAGTAAGTCATGTTTGATTGAATAGTAAGTCGAATTTGATGGAGTAATAAATAAACAGTTTAATTTACTTACAACTAATTGTGAAAATACTTACTACTTACTATGACAATAATTACAATTGATTGAGATAATACTTATCATTCATAAATACAATACTTACCATTCATTCTGAATGTATTTACCACTCATTATGACTCTACTTAACATTTGTTCTGATTCTACTTATCACTTAATAGTAAATAGGATCTCATTAAGTAATAAGTAAAGTCTGATGGAATAGTAATTGGAGTTTAATTAAGTAGTAAGTAAAGTATTATAGAGTAGTAAGTGGATTTTTATTGAGTAGTAAGTAGAATATCATTGAGTTTTTACCATTTATAAGCACAATACATATCATTTGTTCTAATTCTATTTACCACTCATTGTGACTCCACTTACCACTTATTTTTTATTTCTTAACCAAATTAATTTTTAATTTAAAAAAAAAAAATTCTAAAAATTAAACCATACGTAGCCTAAGAATCTTTTGATAAGTCATTTTTTACGTTAGTAACTTAATTAATTATTTGTTAATTTTATGACGTTTTTATCATCTGAAGTCTGTTTGTTAACCATTTCGTTTTCAATTTTCAATTTATATTTACAAAAATTTTAAAAAACTGTCATAAAAACTTGTTTGATAATTTTTTTGGTTTATAAATGGTTGTCTCAATTTGTAAATTTGAGGAAAAAACGTAAATTCAAAAAATAAGTTTACGTTGGTTTTTAAACAAAAATTTTAAAATTTTACTAACAAAATTTTTTTTCAAATAATTTTTTTTCTTATTAATATTTTTTTTCAATGAAATTTTTTTCCAACTAATACTAACCGAGGGGCAATTGGTAATGCTACTTTAAACCTTAGGAAGGGGATTGTAATTTCTAAAATGTGAGGGGTGTCAATGTAATTTACCTAGTGAGGGAAAAATTGGTATTTAAAAAAATTAAATTGCTAAGAGGGGAATCTGTAATGAAACTTTAAACCTCAGGGAGGGAGATGTGATTTCCAAAAGGTGAGGGGAGAACTGTAATAAACATAAGCCTCAAGGGGTGTCAGTGTAAATTACCCTAATATATAATTCTCACATGCTTATCCCATAGGATAAGTGTGTATTTGTGGAAAATATGAATAATTTTTCTCTTTTATTCTCATTTCGTAATCGCATTTTTATCACATGACTAGATTTTGTTAAAGATTTAAATAATAGACTAACAGAAAAGGAGACATTGATACTTGTGTAGAGACCAAAGTGGGATTTGATCAAAAGTGTAAGGGGTTGGCTATCAAAATTTTATGTATAGAGACCAAAGTGGGATTTGATCAGAAGTACAGAGGGTTAACTGTCATGATTTCATGTGTAGGGGTCAAAGTGAAATTTGGTGCAAAGTGTAGGGGTGCAAAGTGTAATTCACCCAAATATTTAATTACTTAAAAGAGAAATTTTGATTTAATAAAATATTATTTATGACTTTTTAGTGAGTTAAGATATTTATTTAAAAATGCTAAATGTGTTAGAAAGGTAGTGAGTGAGAGTCAATTTTTATAAAATTGACTTAGGGAATTTTAAAAGATAAGTCATTTTTGAGAAAATGATGCAGATATATTTTCCTTTAAAAAATGTTTTACTTACTTTTTGTTCAACCAAACAACAGAAAATAAGTAAAATATTTTTGACATCAAAACGAACGGAGCCTTAGTGTCTTTTAATGGATTATTACAAAAATTATTTTTTTAAAAAAAGGATTTGTTCCTTATAATAAAATAATTTTTTTATTTTATCAATTTAAATTTAAATTTTTTGATTTTTTTTCAATCTTAAATCATATGTTAATTTTTGTTAAGTGATCCTGATGAAAAAAAAAATATTTTAATCATTAAACTTAATAAAAAGAAATATTTTAAACATTTTATGTACACTTATATTAAATTTAATGATTAAAATACTCTTTTTTTATCTGAACGAAAATAAACAAATGGTGTAAATTAAAAAAAAATCAAAAGATTAAATTTTAATTTGACATTAAACACTCAGAATTTATTTCGTTGTAATGGTCAATCTTTTTTAATAATTTCTTCTGGATTATTTATATAAAATTCAAGTTGATCAAATTCATCATAATTCAATTAGTGTTGAGTATAGAATTAATATAATTAAAAGGACTTAAGTGAATTTTTAAAGAATAATTTGGAAAAATAAATTTGGTTATTAGTTTTGAAAATAGTTTTAGGAAGATTTGTAATTTTTTTAGTTGAATAGATGAGTGTGAGAGAAAATTTGATTAATTGATATATAGAATATGAGAGAATGAGCGGGGAGAGAGGTGAGAGGAAAGAGAAAAAGTAATTGATTGATTTATTAATAATAAAAGAAAGGGAGAGAGAAGAGAGTAAATTAAATTTTAAATTGCGTTTTAAAAAATTATTAACTAAACAAACTTTTTTGTATTTTGATCCAAATCATGTTTTAAAAACTAAACTAAATATTACCTAAAATTTTCTCTATTACGATTTTTTACAAAACTGCTATAAATCGGACCCAAAGACACACCACAATTGATGGTACATAGCTTTCCACCACCATCATTATCAATATTCATTTCCATTGCGATTGCTTCTCGATCAACATTCATTACGATTGCTACCTTGACGAAATAATCAACATCCAATTCTCGGTCAAATCAGAGAGCAGACCTAAAATTTTCTCTATTATAAGTGCTTCCACCACCATCAACATTAATTTCCATCCTATTGCCGTCTTGTAAACTTCACCCCAAGTCTTTTGACTATATCTGTGTCTCAACAAACTTTTTTCCTTTAACGGCTCACATTTTAAGAAGATAAAATAATATTAAATAATAAAATTTAAAAGTAAAAAAGCCTAGGAAATTTCATATTATAATATTATATATATATACTATCTTGATGAAATAATCGATTCATCCATTACAAAAAAATCATGTCCAAGTGGCTTGCTGTGCTCTGCACTGCCCTTGTGTGGTGTTGCTATTTTTGCAGTATCCCTGCTGCCACTTCTATGGCAAATAATGCGACAGATAGAGCTGCATTGGTGGCCTTCAAGGCTGCAATTGTTCAAGACCCATTTGGTGCCCTCTCTTCCTGGAATCATTCACTCCACTATTGCCACTGGAACGGTATTTTGTGTAGTCGTCGACATCCTGATAGAGTCATTGGGATAACTCTAAGGTCGCAAGGCCTGGTTGGATCGCTCTCACCTCATGTCGGAAACCTCTCCTTTCTCGAAAGAATCGTTCTTCCAAACAATAGCTTCCATGGCCAAATCCCATAGGAGATGGGTCGCTTGTTTCGGCTACGAACAATAGTATTCAGCAACAATTCGTTTGGCGGTGGAATACCTAACAACCTTTCTCGCTGCTCAAAACTTGAATGGCTGAATTTGGTCGACAACAACCTAACTGGAAACATCCCAGCTGAGTTGGGCACTTTGTCAAGGCTTAGAACTTCAGTCTTGGCTAAAAACAAACCATCCCTCCTTTCATTGGAAACCTCTCATATCTTTTCCAAATCTCTTTAGTAGATTGTAATTTGCATGGGCAGATTCTGGGGGAAATTGCTAGACTTCGGCGCCTGAAATTTGTCCTGTTATCGATAAATAACCTATCTGGCAAGGTTCCTTCTGGCCTTTACAATATCTCCACCATCATTTCGTTATCAGTAGCTGTTAACCAACTTGAAGGAAATATTCTTCCTGATATAGGCTCCACACTTCCTAATCTCAAGGATCTTTATATTGTCGGCAATTTGTTTACTGGTACACTTCCTACGTCACTGTCAAATGCTTCCGAGCTTGAATCAATAGACTTCTCTGAGAATAATTTCAGCGGGACAATGCCAAGAGATCTTGGAAAACTTCTGGGTCTTAGATAGTGTTTATGAAAATCGGTTGCAGGATGACTTCACTTTTATTTCGTCTCTAACAAATTGCACCAGTTTAGAAGTTATTCAAGTGGGTGACAATCTTTTTAGAGGTTCATTGCCTGACTCCATAGCTAATCTCTCCACATATCTTAGCGTGATAATTTTTCCAATTAATCAAATACATGGAATCATTCCATCTGGCATCGGGAACCTCCTCAACCTCACTGACTTATCTATGGCAACGAATAATCTTGCTGGCCCTATTCCATCCTCCATTGGCAGACTTCATAAGCTGCAATCTCTGTTGTTAGACCAAAACAAATTTACAGAACTTCCATCTTCGCTTGGTAATTTGACTTCATTGATTACTCTCAACTTGGGAGAAAACAACATCCACGGAAGTATACCTCCGAGTTTGGGCAATTGTCATAGCTTGTTGGAATTAGTCCTTTATAAAAATAATTTCAATGGTTCATTACCCACTGAAATTATGAGTCTCTCCTCCATTTCAACATTCCTCTTGTTAGATCACAATGCACTATCCGGTTCTCTTCCATCACAAGTTGGGTCTTTGAAAAACCTAGGATACATGGATGTATCCTATAATAAATTATCAGGACCCATTCCGAACACTCTAAGCTACTGTTTGAGTCTCGAATGGCTTTACTTGGAGGCCAATTAATTTGGAGGAGAGATACCTCAAAGTTTGGGAATGCTGAGGGGCTTAAGAGAGTTGGATCTTTCGCACAACAATTTGTCAGGGAAGATCCCAAGTTATCTAGGCAAACTTCAACTAGATATGTTGAATTTATCTTTTAATAGGTTACATGGAGAAGTTCCAATACAAGGAGTGTTTCAAAATGGGAGTGCAATTTCAGTTGTTGGAAATAATGATCTATGTGGAGGTATTGCAAAATTAGGCCTTCCTCTTGTCTATCCTCTAAATCAAGCAACAACAAGCTATTAGATATGTTGAATTTATCTTTTAATAGGCTACATGGAGAAGTTCCAATACAAGGAGTGTTTCAAAATGGGAGTGCAATTTCAGTTGTTGGAAATAATGATCTATGTGGAGGTATTGCAAAATTAGACCTTCCTCCTTGTCCATCCTCCAAATCAATCAACAACAAGCTATCTCACAAGATGAAAGTGATCCTACTGGTGGTAGGTCTTGTGATATTTTTATCTTTGTTTGTTAGCTTCTTTATATTTCTTCAACGGCGTCATGTTTCAAAAAAGAAGTCCTCTAGCACGCCATCAATCAAACATCAATTTTTGAGGGTTTCTTATGTAGAGCTTCTCAAAGCCACCAATGGATTCTCAGAGGCTAATCTAATTGGTTTTGGGAGCTATGCTTCAGTTTACAAAGGGATTCTTGATCACGTTCAGATGGTTGTTGCAGTGAAAGTACTCAATCTTCAGACCAGAGGAGCTTCTAAGAGCTTCATATCAGAATGCAAGGCACTAAGAGCCATAAGGCACCGAAATCTATTGAAAATTTTGAGCGTTTGCTCCAGTGTGGATTTCCATGGTAACGAATTCAAAGCTCTGGTATATGAATTTATGGCCAATGGAAACTTGGGCAATTGGTTGCATCATGTCGGAGTTAGAGACCAAGGGCAACCAGAAGAACCCAGAAATCTTAAACTAATTCAGAGGCTGGACATTTCCACTGATATTGCCTCTGCACTTGACTATCTTCATTGTGGTTGTGAGTCGACAATTATTCATGGTGATCTAAAGCCAAGCAATGTTCTTTTGGATGATGAGATGACGGCCCATATTGGAGATTTTGGGTTAGCAAAGATTATTTCTACCGTTTCAGGTGATGTGGCACAAGGTCAAAGCAATTCAGTTGCGATAAGGGGAACCGTAGGCTATGTTGCTCCAGGTACAAAATCTTTTTAATTTCCTTGGAGTAGAAAAACTGAACATGCAATAGGAAAAGTAATAATATACACACACACACATATATATATATATATATATACACCTTGCATGGTAGAATAATTTCAGCACAAAAAACCATGGCGTTCTACAAAATAGTGGGCTCCTGCATGTTTATAAGCATTGTTTTCATACATATTTGTGCCTTTTTTTAATGCTCCATATGTGTGCTTCCACCCTCTCACTATTAAGAAACCAAGTAGTCAGTTTATTTTCCTTAATGTGGGCATGCTTAATCTCAGTGTAAATATTGCCATTCAATTTCAAGTTTACTTTCTTTAATGTGGCCATGCTTGAACTTGGCTATGGAATACCTAAGTTAAATCTCCACGCCGCCGCCTCTATTTTTTTCTTCTCTCTCTTTTCCCCCCCTTAAACTCTTCATTATGTAATTCTAGATCTTACTCAAACTTGTGTAGTTGATTCTGACAGAACTTTTCATGCAAGACTAATTTCTGTTTGCTTCAATAAAACATATATTGTTATTGACAGAGATGAAATTAAGGCAATCATATATACCACATTTTCTATTGGGATTACAACTATGTCAACTAACTGGACTCACTTTTCACACTAACATTACAAACAATTTGCACACTAACATTAGACAATTTGTAGAGTACGGCATGGGTGAAATGGCTTCCACACTAGGGGATGTATATAGCTTTGGGATTCTTTTACTGGAGATATTTACAGGTAAGAGACCAACTGACACTATGTTTAAAGATCATCTAAATCTTCATAACTTCATTAAGAATGCTTTGCCTAATCGGGTGATGGAGATTGTGGATCCTTGCATTCCATTGGTGCATAACACAAGAAGTTGGATTAAAGACTGCATGGTTTCCATTATGAGAATTGGGGTTGCATGTTCAATGGCATCACCAACAAATCGAATGGAAATGGCTAGTGTTATTAGCGAATTGCATAAGATAAAAAATACATACATGAATGAAGGGTTGAACCAAGACTAGGCAATTGGAAGAGATTTTGCAACATAAAAGCCAAAGGTGTGTATCATACCCTCGTGACCCATGCATATCCATTACCAAAATGAGAAATGTTATACACAAACAAATTTTTTACCTAATTTTGTTACCACTAGATACAAAGACATTGAGTTCTCAATATATTTATTAATATTATGGACCCCACTAAATTTTTGACTCGTCGTAAGAAAATTTGATGAGAAATTTGTTTATGTATGGCATTACTCTACTAAAATGCATCTTTCCCTCTTTTGAAACATCTCAATTTCATGTTCTCATTTTTCTTTTCTTTTTGATTGGCTCTAATTTTTTTATTTTTTACTTTTTTTAAAGTGAACTAAAGCATGTTTATTGTTTTGTTGATCAAGGTTACTTCCAAGGTCCTCCAATAATGGTTACCTCCTCAATATGCTACTCCATCAGCCAATAGAGTACAAGTGGTAGCTTTGTGTTTTATTGCCTCATTTATGAGTTCATATGATCATTCATCATCCTCATCAGCTGCTTGAATAAATAACTGTCACTTTTTTTTTTCCTTCCTTCAACTAGATTGTATTATATAAAAAATATGTTCATGTGAGATATTTCCAACTAAGATTGTGTGTTAGAATTATCATTTTGTTGTATCTTTCCTTTGAAATTGCATGGCCATATAGTTCCCGCTCTTTAGTCATTGTTAAATTGTTGCTCAAAATTTTGCATTTATGTACCATTTGTTTTTGCAAAAAATGTCATTTATAGAACGCGTTTTTCTATGTTTGATTACCACCTTAAAATTGATAAGTTAGAAGAGAGATCAGGGATCTTTGTTTGTGTTTCTGTGTACATATATATTTTTTAAGTTGGTCTTTGTCCTTTTACATCAATACATAGGGGTTACTTTGTTTTTTTAATGAGTGTGATCTCTAGAAAAAAGATCACGTAAACACTTTTAAACAATTCAAATTAGTCCGTCATTTATTGTTAGAATTTTGAACGAAAAAAGATCATGTGCAAGATTAGAGATATCAAAGTGAAATTCAAAAGAAAGTAGAAGACTACTGATGTTTTAAATAAATTTTACTTTAGTCTCTCTAATTTTTGCATGTGATTTTTTTCTGTTTAAAATTTTAACGACCCATAAGGAAGGATTACATTATAACAAAATTGAAAGGGTAAATTACACTTTGCACCCCTTCACTTTGTACCAAATCTCACTTTGGCTCCCTACACATGAAATCATGACAGTCAACCCCCTGCACTTCTGGTCAAATCACATTTTGGTCCCCTACACATGAAATTGTGACAGTCAATCCCTTGCACTCTTACTCAAATCCCACTTTGGTCCCTACACAAGTGTCAATGTCCCTCTTCTGTTACTTCATCTTTAAATCTTTAACAAGATCCAGTCATATGACAAAAATGTGACTACAAAATGAGGGTAAGAGGAGAAAATCATCTATGTTTCCCATCAATACACTTTGTCCTGTGTGATAAGCACTTAAGGGTTATTATGACAAAAATGTGATTACAAAATCAGGGTAAGAGGGAAAAATCATCTATGTTTCCCATCAATACACTTTGTCCTGCATGATAAGCACTTAAGAGTTATATAATTCAATATATATATACGTTCATATGGTAAAAATTGGGATAGATATACAAGAAAGTAGAGTTTTGAAATAAAACAAAATGCGACAAAGAAATCAAAGAGAAAGAAAGATGAATAGACAGAAGACTGTGTTACCGAAAAAAATAGAGTTACTGATTACAAGAATCAAAAAATGATTACTGAACTACTGAATTAAAACTACTAATGATAATAAACTGCTTTAGACATTACAAAAAATTAAGGTTTTAGAGACCAAAATTTAGAGACAAAATTATTTTTTAGGGACCAAATAATTTTGTTGCGAAAAGTGTCATTATTATATTTTTAGCAACAAAAATTGGACATTAGTGATGAATTATTATCCTTTTGGGACCAAATTTTTTGTTTCAATAAATAAACCATTTTGAGACCAAATTATTTTGTTCCTAAAAGTCTATTTATTAGTGACATTTTCAAAATTTTGTCGCTAAAAGTCTTGTTTTGACTTTTTAAGGACGACCTTTTAATGACTATCCTCATAACGTTGAAAATTGCCCCCTAAATGTCTTTTGCAACAAAATTTTCACTTTTAGAGACCAAAACATTTGATCGCTAAAACTCTTATATGTTGTAGTGAGAGAAGAGAAATTTACAAGAAAAAACACCTTTAGTGACCACCTATTTTTAGTTGGTCACAAAAAGTATGGTAATCTGCCACCAAAATTTATTTTGGTCGCGGATGATGGTGTTTTAGTGACCAACATTTTTTTGGTGGCTAATAGTTAAGTATTTGTGACCAAATACAAAATGTGGTCGCCAAAAGTGATGGCAGGAGCGCGAAATAAAAAGGGTGGGACATCAATCTTTTGGCTACCAGTAGATTTTGGTCACAAAAGGAAAAATGATACACACTATGTTGTTTTGAAATTCTTAAATAAAAAATATGTTTCTGAGCCTTGATCTTCCCTCATTGTTGCCCTCTTCCTTCCCTCATTGTTGCCCTCTTCCTTAATAAAAAAAAGTTTCCTGTTTCCTTGAGCTTCCGATCGGTTTATCAAACCCTACCCACCATCTCCTCACTTCGTCCCCTGGGTTTGCCGCTCTTCATCTTCGCCTCCACCTTGTACTTACCAGGTTAGTGTCTCTCTCTCTCTCAATCTCTCTCTCTGTTCATGTATATATATAATCGATCGATGTCTATATCTATATCTCACTTCCGATCTGTTCATGTCTATATCTATAATCGATCGATGTTTCTTTTTCATCGTTGCAACTCCTCACTTCCGATCTGTTCATGTCTATATCTATAATCGATCGATGTTTCTTTTTCATCGTTGCAACTCCTCACTTCCGATCTGTTCATGTCTATATCTATAATCGATCGATGTTTCTTTTTCATCGTTGCAACTCCTCACTTCCGATCTGTTCATGTCTATATCTATAATCGATCGATGTTTCTTTTTCATCGTTGCAACTCCTCACTTCCGATCTGTTCATGTCTATATCTATAATCGATCGATGTTTCTTTTTCATCGTTGCAACTCCTCACTTCCGATCTGTTCATGTCTATATCTATAATCGATCGATGTTTCTTTTTCATCGTTGCAACTCCTCACTTCCGATCTGTTCATGTCTATATCTATAATCGATCGATGTTTCTTTTTCATCGTTGCAACTCCTCACTTCCGATCTGTTCATGTCTATATCTATAATCGATCGATGTTTCTTTTTCATCGTTGCAACTCCTCACTTCCGATCTGTTCATGTCTATATCTATAATCGATCGATGTTTCTTTTTCATCGTTGCAACTCCTCACTTCCGATCTGTTCATGTCTATATCTATAATCGATCGATGTTTCTTTTTCATCGTTGCAACTCCTCACTTCCGATCTGTTCATGTCTATATCTATAATCGATCGATGTTTCTTTTTCATCGTTGCAACTCCTCACTTCCGATCTGTTCATGTCTATATCTATAATCGATCGATGTTTCTTTTTCATCGTTGCAACTCCTCACTTCCGATCTGTTCATGTCTATATCTATAATCGATCGATGTTTCTTTTTCATCGTTGCAACTCCTCACTTCCGATCTGTTCATGTCTATATCTATAATCGATCGATGTTTCTTTTTCATCGTTGCAACTCCTCACTTCCGATCTGTTCATGTCTATATCTATGTCTATGTCTATATCTATAACTCTATTATTTGAGTTTCATATATACTTGCTGATTTTTTTTTTAATCTCTATCATTTGATTTTCATACATAGAATTTCTGATTGATTTGTAATCGATCTGTGCTTCTCTCTCATTTTTCTTTGATTTTCATACTTTCTTTTTTTTCTGAAAATTTTCTCCTCTGTTTGTTATTTTTTTCTTTTTTCTTTTTGAAACAATTTATTAAAAACTCATAATTTATTTCGTTATAATGATCAATCTTTTTTAATAATTTCTTTTGGATTATTTATATAAAAATTCAAGTGGATCAAATTCATCATAATTTAAATAGCGTCGAGTATAGAATTAATATAATTAAAAGGACATAAGTGAATTTTTAATGAATAATTTGGAAAAATAATTACGCTTTGTTTAGTTTTTGAAATGAGTTTTGAGTTTTGCATTGATTATGTTTTGAACGATAAGTTGTTGAAAAGAGTTTTGAAAGTTGAAAATTTGTTTGGTTATCAATTTTGAAAATAGTTTTAGGATCATTTATAATTTTGTTTTAGTTTAATAGATGAGTGTGAGAGAAAATTTGATTGATTAATATGTAAAATGTGAGAGAATGAAAGAGGAGAGAGGTGAGAGGAGAGATAAAAAGTAATTGATTAATTTATTAATAATAAAAAAAAGGGGCAGAGAAGAGAGAAAATTAAATTTTGAATTGTATTTTAAAAATTTATTAATCAAATAAACTTTTTTATATTTTGATCCAAATCATGTTTTAAAAATTAAACCAACTATTACCTTTCTCTATTACAATTGCTTCCAAATCTGCTATAAATTGGACCCAAAGACGCACTACAATTGATGGTACATAGCTTACATCACCATCATTTAGGAATGGCAATTTGAACCCGACTCGACGAGAACCCGGCCCCCCTACCCCGATTAGAACGGTTTTTTTTCGAAAAATATCCCCAATGGGCTGGGGATGGTATTCGAAAATGGATCCTCAGCAAATTTTAGGACGGGGATAGTGATACATTCCCTAGCCCTTGTCCCAGCCCCGTCCCCGTTTCTCCTGATATGAAATTGCTATTGTACCCTCTATATATATAAAACAAACCCTAAAACACAATCACACAACCTCATACTCACACACAAGCACACTGGCTGCCTCCACCTCTCATCTCTCTCTCTCTCTTTCTCTCTCTCTAAAACCCTCACATCACCGCCGATCTCCCTCTCTTCATTGTCCTCCTCTCCTTCCTCCTCCGCTGTCCTCCTCTCCCTCCTCTTTCGCTGTACTCCTTTCCCTCATCTCATCACCGTCGATCTCCCTTCTCCTCCGCTATCTTCGGCGGGAGAGAGCTATGCTTAGGGTTTTCGATCTTGGCGAAAATGAACTTAGATCTACAACGATCGAGGCCAGAACAAGGCGTTGCCGCTGGTGAACAAGGTGTCTCCATCATTGTTCTTCTCTCTCTCTCTCTCTCTCTCTCTCTGGTCTCACTCTTCTTCATCTCTTTTTGTAGATACCATTTGATTTTTATGATACATATGTTGTGATTTGCTTGATTTTGTTTTGGATCTATGTATTTTGGTTGTTTCTGAGATATAATTGATTTGTATATTTGTTAATTGTGATAATGACTTAAAGTTTCTTCGATGGAGATATAATTGATTTGTATATGTGTTAGTTGTTTACATTGAAAGATTTATAACTACTTGCAATTTACAGATTCTAATATATCCTTCATACAAATTTTCATTTTGATGTTGGTTTGGTGGTTCTTAGTTTGAGAAATTGGTTTGATGGACATCAACATGTGCCTAACATTATGTTTTGATGTCATCTCATGGTTTCAGCTAATTGTATAGGAAATGAATTACTATTTGGGGTTTCTTATTCACTGTTGTTTTTGTTTTGGAAAGAGGAACAATGCAACTTGATTCAAACTTATTTGGTTGTAAAGATTAGAAAGAAAACAAGGGTCGGGGATTTTTCAGGGTTGGGGAAACCCGATCCCTATTAGGAGGCGGGGGTGATGGGTTCCCCACCCGGAATCGGGGGCGGGGATGGGGAGTGTTTTACATTCGGGGATCAAAGATGGGGAGTGTAATCCCCGACCCCATCCCGACCCGTTGCCATTTCTACCATCAGTATCAATATTCATTTCCATCCTATTGCAATTGCTTCTCGATCAACATTCATTACGATTGGTACCTTAATGAAATAATCAACATTCAATTCTCGATCAAATCAGAAGGCAGACCTAAAATTTTATAAAAATGTTTAGTAGTTCTAAAATAAGAGCTCTAAAGAAATTCTAATTATGTAACACTAGTCCATGTGTAATTATTGTTACTTTCCATTAGTACTTTTCATCTTCTTTTGATCTGTGAATTCACTAAAACTCGATTCAAAACTCTTAAATTAGGACTATATATCATTGTTGAAATTTTATCTATTATAATTGCTTCCACCACCATCAACATTAATTTCCATCCTATTGCCGCATTGTAACCTTCACCCCTAGTCTTTCAGTATCTCTGGAGTGTTTTAGAAAGATGGTTAAAAATTGACTTTTTAATTTTTTTTGACTTTTTAAAAAAAAAAGTGTAAAAAGTATGAAAGTTAATGTGACCAAAAATAGATTAAAAGTTGAAGTTTTCAAATTGGCCCTATGTCTCAACAAACTTTTTTCTTTTAACTGCTCACATTTTAAGAAGATAAAATAATATTAAATAATAAAATTTAAAAATAAAAAAGTCTAGGTAATTTCATATTATAATATTACATATATACTATCTTGATGCAATAATCTATTCATCCATTACAAAAAAAATCACTATAGATTCCGAAGGCCTGGTTGGATCGCTCTCACCTCATATAGGAAACCTCTCCTTTCTCAAAAGCATTGATCTTCAAAACAATAGCTTCCACAGCCAAATCCCACAGGAGATGGGTTGCCTGTTTCGGCTACAAACAATAGAATTCAGCAACAATTGGTTTGGCGGTGGAATACCCAACAACCCTTCTTGCTGCTCAAGACTTGAATGGCTGAACTTGATTGACAACAACCTAACCGGAAACATCCCAGCTGAGTTGGGCTCTTTGTCAAGGCTTGGAACTTTAGCCTTGAGTATTAACAAGTACCATCCCTCCTTCCATTGGAAACCTCTCACCTCTCACCTCTTTCCGAACTCTCTTTATCGGAATGTAATTTGCATGGGGAGATTCCGACGGAAATTGCTAGGCTTCGAGGGAATGTATGATATTCGTCAGCAATGTGTTTGTTGTTGTCATTCATTTTTCCTTTGAATTTAAATATTTCATTTTCATCCTTAAAAGTTTAAATTTGAGTTAATTTAATCCAATTGCAAACAAAACATCTAAATTGTTAATAAAATATAATGAAATATGCATGAGTTTCATGTCATTTTAATTCTTAAATTTTTTTATTTTGTCACTTTGATCCCTAAACAATAATGAAGAAGACGAAACATAACCTTACAGTATTGTCAAACGAAATTGGAACTTTGGGAACTTAAATGAATAAGAACACATACTTTATCAACCATTAGTTGAATTTTATGACTATTCTGTTAATGATTTTGACAATGGGATATAATTAGACCAATTTAACTCAATTTTAGAAGTTTTAAGTACGAAATTGATAAAATATAAACTTTGAAGGTCCAAGTAACACAGGGCACATATTTTAAAGACTGTAAGTGTATTTTAGCTTGAGTGTTTGTTTTTTAAGTGATGTGATTTTATTTTATGCTAGATGTTACAACAATGGGTATTATACGAAAGTGGGAGGAGGGAGCACAGCAGAGATTGTTAGCTTTTGATTGATTCAGATTTATAATGAACTATATTTTGTATTGAATTTTTATCACTTATTGATTTATCTATCTTGCCCATAGGCTTACATCCTTTTATATAGAGAAGGTTATACATAAGTTCAATGAATAAGATCCATGAACCTAAACAATCTTGTAATTAATTAGGTACATGAATATAATCTAGACAATGTACTTAATAAATATAAAATACATGAATATAAAAATACATGAATACAAAGAATGTATGAACTCAATGTATCCAATGCATGCAATGTATCCAATGTATCTAATGTAAATATGGCATTAATTTTAACATGAAATTCATCGCCTTTTCGGATGGCTACGATGATGGGTATAAATCCGGGGACAATCTCCAACACTACATTTCTGAGTTGAGAAGTAACAGCTCATGAATGCTCAGAGATATCATCACCACCAGCGCTGACGAAGGCCGCCCTGTCACGTGCTTGGTCTACAACCCCGTCTTTCCTTCGGCGGCTGTGGTGGTGCGTGATTTCACGTCCCATCAATGCTCCTTTGGATTCAATCGACTGCTGTTTTAGATATCTACTACTATTACTTCAATGGCCACGGAGAGGACATCGTGAAAAATCGCAATGACTCCTCCTGGTCCATTGAATTACTGGATTGCCACGGCTACAAAGCCGTGACCTTCCCTCTTCGATACTTCCTTTAACCAATAGTGCTTTTGCGCTACCAACATTAAAAGAACTTGTAGACACACTCGATGAAGAAACCAACCCTAAAGTACTTGTGAACACATGCGATGCATTAGAACTTGAGAGCTTGAAAGCTATTCAAAAGTATAATTTGATTGGAATTGGACAGTTGATTTCATCGGCTTTCTTGGATGGAAGAGACCCATCGGATACTTCATTCGTGGGCGACCTTTTTAAAAAATCAAGAGACTATATTGAATGGTTGAACTCAAAACCCGAATCATCGGTGGTTTATGTATCTTTTGGGAGCATGGTGGTGCTGCAAAAGCAACAAAAGGAGGAAATTACACAAGGTTTGTTGGAAAGTCATCGGCCATTTTTGTGGGTAATCAGAGCAAAACATAGTCGCGAAGAAGAAGAAGAAGATGCGCTAAGTTGCATGAAATAACTCGAGCAACAAGGGATGATAGTGTCGTGGTGTTCTCAACTAGAGGTTCTTTCGCACCCATGTTTGGGGTGTTTCGTGACGCATTGTGAGTGGAATTCTATTTTGGAGAGCTTGGCTTCTGCGGTTCCGGTGGTGGCGTTTCCTCATTGGTCAGATCAAACGATGAATGTGAAGATGGTGACAGGGGTGAGAGTGAAGGCAAATGAAGAAGGGATAATAGAGAGTGAAGAGTTTAAGGGGTGTATAAAGGAGGTGATGGGGGGTGAGGAGAGAGGAGAAAAAATGAGGAGAAATGCAAAGAAATGGAAGGAGTTGACAAGGGAAGCTGTGAAGGAAGGTGGATCTTCTGATTTGAATCTCAAGGCTTTTGTGGAGAACATTGGAGGAGGAAACTACTCTTCTAGAGTGTAAATTTATTACTAGTCCCTTCTTTTCTTTTTCTTTTTTCAGTTTTCTTTCTATTTTCTTTTGGTTAAGATAGAGAGTGTCATTTTTTTTATTTTTTATATTTATTTATTTTGTTCATCGAGATGTTTTGTCTAATATGATTTTTCATTGTAACAAAGAAACTAAAGAAATAATGATATAAAAACAAAAATAAAAAAATTATGCAATTAATCAAATACATGGAATCATTCCATCTGGCATCGGGAACCTCCTCAACCTCACTGACTTATCTATGGCAACGAATAATCTTGCTGGCCCTATTCCATCCTCCATTGGCAGACTTCATAAGCTGCAATCTCTGTTGTTAGACCAGAACAAATTTACAGAACTTCCATCTTCGCTTGGTAATTTGACTTCATTGATTACTCTCAACTTGGGAGAAAACAACATCCATGGAAGTATACCTCCGAGTTTGGGCAATTGTCATAGCTTGTTGGAATTAGCCCTTTATAAAAATAATCTCAATGGTTCAATACCCACTGAAATTATGAGTCTCTCCTCCATTTCAACATTCCTCTTGTTAGATCACAATGCACTATCCGGTTCTCTTCCATCACAGGTTGGGTCTTTGAAAAACCTAGGATACATGGATGTATCTTATAATAAATTATCAGGACCCATTCCGAACACTCTAAGCAACTGTTTGAGTCTCGAATGGCTTTACTTGGAGGCCAATTCATTTGAAGGAGAGATACCTCAAAGTTTGAGAATGTTGAGGGGCTTAAGAGAGTTGGATCTTTCGCACAACAATTTGTCAGGGAAGGTCCCAAGTTATCTAGGCGAGCTTCAACTAGATATGTTGAATTTATCTTTTAATAGGCTACATGGAGAAGTTCCAATACAAGGAGTGTTTCAAAATGGGAGTGCAATTTCAGTTGTTGGAAATAATGATCTGTGTGGAGGTATTGCAAAATTAGACCTTCCTCCTTGTCCATCCTCCAAATCAAGCAACAACAAGCTATCTCACAAGATGAAAGTGATCCTACTGGTGGTAGGTCTTGTGATATTTTTATCTTTGTTTGTTAGCTTCTTTATATTTCTTCAACGGCGTCATGTTTCAAAAAAGAAGTCCTCTAGCACGCCATCAATCAAACATCAATTTTTGAGGGTTTCTTATGTAGAGCTTCTCAAAGCCACCAATGGATTCTCAGAGGCTAATCTAATTGGTTTTGGGAGCTATGCTTCAGTTTACAAAGGGATTCTTGATCACGTTCAGATGGTTGTTGCAGTGAAAGTACTCAATCTTCAGACCAGAGGAGCTTCTAAGAGCTTCATATCAGAATGCAAGGCACTAAGAGCCATAAGGCACCGAAATCTATTGAAAATTTTGAGCGTTTGCTCCAGTGTGGATTTCCATGGTAACGAATTCAAAGCTCTGGTATATGAATTTATGGCCAATGGAAACTTGGGCAATTGGTTGCATCACGTCGGAGTTAGAGACCAAGGGCAACCAGAAGAACCCAGAAATCTTAAACTAATTCAGAGACTGGACATTTCCACTGATATTGCCTCTGCACTTGACTATCTTCATTGTGGTTGTGAGTCGACAATTATTCATGGTGATCTAAAGCCAAGCAATGTTCTTTTGGATGATGAGATGACGGCCCATATTGGAGATTTTGGGTTAGCAAAGATTATTTCTACCGTTTCCAGTGATGTGGCACAAGGTCAAAGCAATTCAGTTGCGATAAGGGGAACCGTAGGCTATGTTGCTCCAGGTACAAAATCTTTTTAATTTCCTTGGAGTAGAAAAACTGAACATGCAATAGGAAAAGTAATAATATATATACACACACATATATATATATATACACCTTGCATGGTAGAATAATTTCAGCACAAAAAACCATGGCGTTCTACAAAATAGTGCGCTCCTGCATGTTTATAAGCATTGTTTTCATACATATTTGTGCCGTTTTCTAATGCTCCATATGTGTGCTTCCACCTCCTCACTATTAAGAAACCAAGTAGTCAGTTTATTTTCCTTAATGTGGGCATGCTTAATCTCAGTGTAAATATTACCATTCAATTTCAAGTTTACTTTCTTTAATGTGGCCATGCTTGAACTTGGCTATGGAATACCTAAGTTAAATCTCTACGCCGCTGCCTCTATTTTTTTTTTCTCTCTTTTTTCCCCCTTAGACTCTTCATTATGTAATTCTAGATCTTACTCAAACTTGTGTAGTTGATTCTGACAGAACTTTTCATGCAAGACTAATTTTTGTTTGCTTCAATAAAACTTATATTGTTATTGACAGAGATGAAATTAAGGCCATCATATATACCACATTTTCTATTGGGATTACAACTATGTCAACTAACTGGACTCACTTTTCACACTAACATTACAAACAATTTGCACACTAACATTAGACAATTTGCAGAGTACGGCATGGGTGAAATGGTTTCCACACTAGGGGATGTATATAGCTTTGGGATTCTTTTACTGGAGATATTTACAGGTAAGGGACCAACTGACGCTATGTTTAAAGATCATCTAAATCTTCATAACTTCGTTAAGAATGCTTTACCTAATCGGGTGATGGAGATTGTGGATCCTTGCATTCCATTGGAGCATAACACAAGAAGTTGGATTAAAGACTGCATGGTTTCCATTATGAGAATTGGGATTGCATGTTCAATGGCATCACCAACAAATCGAATGGAAATGGGTAGTGTTATTAGCGAATTGCGTAAGATAAAAAATACATACATGAATGAAGGGTTGAACCAAGACTAGGAAATTGGAAGAGATTTTGCAACATAAAAGCCAAAGGTGTGTATCATACCCTCTTGACCCATGCATATCCATTACCAAAATGAGAAATGTTATACACAAACGAATTTTTTACCTGATTTTCTTACCACTAGGTACAAAGACATTGAGTTCTCAATATATTTATTAATATTATGGACCCCACTAAATTTTTGACTCGTCGTAAGAAAATTTGATGAGAAATTTGTTTATGTATGGCATTACTCTACTAAAATGCATCTTTCCCTCTTCTGAAACATCTCAATTTCATGTTCTCATTTTTCTTTTCTTTTTGATTGGCTCTAATTTTTTTATTTTTTACTTTTTTTAAAGTGAACTAAAGCATGTTTATTGTTTTGTTGATCAAGGTTACTTCCAAGGTCCTCCAATAATGGTTACCTCCTCAATATGCTACTCCATCAGCCCATAGAGTACAAGTGGCAGCTTTGTATTTTATTGCCTCATTTATGAGTTCATATGATCATTCATCATCCTCATCAGCTGCTTGAGTAAATAACTGTCACTTTTTTTTCCTTCCTTCGACTAGATTGTATTATATAAAAAATATGTTCATGTGAGATATTTCCAACTAAGATTGTGTGTTAGAATTATCATTTTGTTGTATCTTTCCTTTGAAATTGCATGGCCATATAGTTCCCGCTCTTTAGTCATTGTTAAATTGTTGCTCAAAATTGGCATTTATGTACCATTTGTTTTTGCAAAAAATGTTATTTATAGAACGTGTTTTTCTATGTTTGATTACCACCTTAAAATTGATAGGTTAGAAGAGAGATCAGGGATCTTTGTTTGTGTTTCTGTGTATATATATATTTTTTAAGCTGGTCTTTGTCCTTTTACATCAATACATAGGGGTTACTTTGTTTTTTTTTGATGAGTGTGATCTCTAGAAAAAAAGATCACATAAACACTTTTAAACAATTCAAATTAGTCTGCCATTTATTGTTAGAATTTTGAACGAAAAAAGATCATGTGCAAGATTAGAGATATCAAAGTGAAATTCAAAAGAAAGTAGAAGACTATTGATGTATTAAATAAATTTTACGTTAGTCTCTCTAATTTTTGCACGTGGTTTTTTTTTTTTTTTTTTAAATTTTAACGACCCATAAGGAAGGATTATATTATAACAAAATTGCAAGGGTAAATTACACTTTGCACCCCTTCACTTTGTACCAAATCTCATTTTGGCCACCTACATATGAAATCATGACAGTCAACTCCCTGCACTTCTGGTCAAATCCCATTTGGTCCCTACACATGAAATTGTGACAATCAATCCCCTGCACTCTTACTCAAATCCCACTTTGGTCCCTACACAAGTGTCAATGTCCCTCTTCTGTTACTTCATCTTTAAATCTTTAACAAGATCCAGTCATATGACAAAAATGTGACTACAAAATGAGGGTAAGAGGAGAAAATCATCTATGTTTCCCATCAATACACTTTGTCCTGTGTGATAAGCACTTAAGGGTTATATAATTCAATATATATATATATATATATATACGTTCATATGGTAAAAATTGGGATAGAAATACAAGAAAGTAGAGTTTTGAAATAAAATAAAATGCGACAAAGAAATCAAAGAGAAAGAAAGATAAATAGACAGAAGACTATGTTACCGAAAAAAATACAGTTACTGATTACAAGAATCAAAAAACGATTACTGAACTACTGAATTAAAACTATTAATGATAATAAACTACTCTAGACATTACAAAAAATTAAGGTTTTAGAGACCAAAATTTAGACACAAAATTAGTTTTTAGGGACCAAATAATTTTGTTGCGAAAAGTGTCATTATTATATTTTTAGCAACAAAAATTGGACATTAGTGGTGAATTATTATCCTTTTGGGACCAATTTTTTTGTTTCAAAAAATAAACCATTTTGAGACCAAATTATTTTGTTCCTAAAAGTCTATTTATTAGTGACATTTTCAAAATTTTGTCGCTAAAAGTCTTGTTTTTGACTTTTTGGAGACGAATTTTTAATGACTATCCTCATAACGATGAAAATTGCCCCTTAAATGTCTTTTGTAACAAAATTTTCACTTTTAGAGACCAAAATATTTGGTCTCTAAAACTCTTATATATTATAGTGAGAGAAGAGAAATTTACTCCTAATTGAACTAGTTTAGATAAAATTGATGTGTTGGTTGATGCTGATTCCTCATCTTTTCCACTTTCAACCTATTTATAAGCTCATATTTCAACGGTTAAAACAACTGTTAGATAATTTCTCATTCTCCAAGAGCCACGAACCAACAGCAGCTTCCACGGATTCACAAACCATACCCCATGTTCCACTTTCCTTCCTTAGTGCTATGATCCACTATGCTTTGAACCACCTCCTACACAAAACAATAATAATAATAATAATAATAATAATAATAAATTTAACTGTGGCATCATATTAGACTAAATTTTTTTGTCAAATTTTTATTTAAATTTAATAAAAATTTGATAAAACGTTTAAAAATAGTCTAATAAGGCCAGCTTTGGGATAATTTTTTAGAATGATAACTCAATACTTTTTTCTTTTTTTTTTCCCTCTCTTATCCATGGAGATTCCAATCTATCTGCTTGAATTGATTGCTTTTTAACGTTGCAATAAATCAGGACCCAAAGACACGCTACAGTTGACCCATTCATGGTTCATATAGCAATTTTTTCCCCAAAGGTTGGGCTTACTTCCTGTCCTCATTTGGATATTATTCAGGCATGTGGGATTTATTATAGGTCTTATTTCGATAATTCAAACCGTTTATGTTGTAAAGTTTTTTGCGTATATTGTTCATGAAAGAAAATTAATTCAATTTGATAATTGCAACTTATTCATTTTATCATGTTTGTTTATGAAAAAATGAACAGCAAATATATTTTTAAAATAGATTATTAATTTTTTTTAAGACAAATAAAGAAATTATGAATATCCGATCAATTTAATTTTTTTCATGGACGACAGACACAAAAAACCTTATAAAATGAACGATTTGGATCATCGAAACAAGATTAGCAGTGAATCCCACAAGCCCAAATAACACTCCCCAATCCAGATCTGGAGGGAAACCCAACCCATTTTTCAATAATATTAGAAACACTAACTAGTACACTAAGAAACGAAAAATTATCACACAAATCGGCCTCATATCCTACGTGTGTGCCCTTATAATTCTATTGATTATATTCTCATTCGTAATCACATTTTTATCACATGACTGGATTCTGTTAAAGATTTAAACAATAGAGTAACAGAAAATGGGACATTGATACTTGTGTAGGGATCAAAGTGGAATTTGATTAAAAGTGCAAGAGATTGACTATCACAATTTTATATATAGGGACCAAAGTGGGATTTGACCAAAAGTGCAAGGGGTTAACTATCACGATTTTATGTGCAAGGGTTAAAGTGGAATTTGGTGCAAAGTGTAAGGGTGCAAAGCGTAATTTACCCAAATGTTTTATTGCTTAAAAGACAAATTTTGATTTAATAAAATGTCATTTATGACTTTTTAATGAGTTAAGATATTTATTTGAAAAAGCTAAATATGTTAGAAAGGTAGCGAGTGAGAGTTAACTTTATAACAATTGACTTACAGAATTTTAAAAGGTAAGTCATTTTTTAGAAAATGATGCGAACATATTTTGCTTAAAAAATATTTTATTTACTTTTTGTTCAACCAAACAATGGAAAGTGAGTAAAATATTTTTGACAAAAATATTTTATATCAAAGCAAATGGAGCCTTAGTGTCTTTTAATGGATTATTTCAAAAATTATTTTTTAAAAAAAGGATTTGTTCCTTATAATAAAATAAATTTTTTATTTTATCAATTTAAATTTTAATCTTTTGATTTTTTTTCAATCTAAATCATATTTTAATTTTTGTTAAGTGAACCTGATGAAAAAATAATATTTTAATCATTAAACTTAATGTAAAGAAATATTTTAGACATTTTATGTACACTTATATAAAATTTAATGACTAAAATACTTTTTTTTTTCATCAATTTTACTGAATGAAAATAAACGAATAGTGTAAATTAAAAACAAATAAAAAATTAGAATCTAAATTGGCAGTATTAAAAACTCATAATTTATTTCGTTATAATGATCAATCTTTTTTAATAATTTCTTCTGGATTATTTATATAAAAATTCAAGTAGATCAAATTCATCATAATTTAAATAGCGTCGAGTATAGAATTAATATAATTAAAAGGACATAAGTGAATTTTTAATGAATAATTTGGAAAAATAATTACGTTTTGTTTAGTTTTTGAAATGAGTTTTGAGTTTTGAATTAATTATGTTTTGAACGATAAGTTGTTGAAAAGAGTTTTGAAAGTTGAAAATTTGTTTGGTTATCAATTTTGAAAATAGTTTTAGGATCATTTATAATTTTGTTTTAGTTTAATAGATGAGTGTGAGAGAAAATTTGATTGATTAATATGTAAAATGTGAGAGAATGAAAGAGGAGAGAGGTGAGAGGAGAGATAAAAAGTAATTGATTAATTTATTAATAATAAAAAAAAGGGGCAGAGAAGAGAGAAAATTAAATTTTGAATTGTATTTTAAAAATTTATTAATCAAATAAACTTTTTTATATTTTGATCCAAATCATGTTTTAAAAATTAAACCAACTATTACCTTTCTCTATTACAATTGCTTCCAAATCTGCTATAAATTGGACCCAAAGACGCACTACAATTGATGGTACATAGCTTACATCACCATCATTTAGGAATGGCAATTTGAACCCGACTCGACGAGAACCCGGCCCCCCTACCCCGATTAGAACGGTTTTTTTCCGAAAAATATCCCCAATGGGCTGGGGATGGTATTCGAAAATGGATCCTCGGCAAATTTTAGGGCGGGGATAGTGATACATTCCCTAGCCCTTGTCCCAGCCCCGTCCCCGTTTCTCCTGATATGAAATTGCTATTGTACCCTCTATATATATAAAACAAACCCTAAAACACAATCACACAACCTCATACTCATACACAAGCACACTGGCTGCCTCCACCTCTCATCTCTCTCTCTCTCTTTCTCTCTCTCTAAAACCCTCACATCACCGCCGATCTCCCTCTCTTCATTGTCCTCCTCTCCTTTCTCCTCCGCTGTCCTCCTCTCCCTCCTCTTTCGCTGTACTCCTTTCCCTCCTCTCATCACCGTCGATCTCCCTTCTCCTCCGCTATCTTCGGCGGGAGAGAGCTATGCTTAGGGTTTTCGATCTTGGCGAAAATGAACTTAGATCTACAACGATCGAGGCCAGAACAAGGCGTTGCCGCTGGTGAACAAGGTGTCTCCATCATTGTTCTTCTCTCTCTCACTCTCTCTCTCTCTGGTCTCACTCTTCTTCATCTCTTTTTGTAGATACCATTTGATTTTTATGATACATATGTTGTGATTTGCTTGATTTTGTTTTGGATCTATGTATTTTGGTTGTTTCTAAGATATAATTGATTTGTATATTTGTTAATTGTGATAATGACTTAAAGTTTCTTCGATGGAGATATAATTGATTTGTATATGTGTTAGTTGTTTACATTGAAAGATTTATAACTACTTGCAATTTATAGATTCTAATATATCCTTCATACAAATTTTCATTTTGATGTTGGTTTGGTGGTTCTTAGTTTGAGAAAT